TTAAGGGGCAGAGAAATAGAAATAGTGGGCCTAGCGTGGAGACGCAGGAAGGCGCAAGTGACTAGGGGTCGAGTACGCCGAGCTCGCGACCTTGTGCAAGGACCGTAGGCACACAGCAATAGGTTCAACGCACGCCGAATGCAATCGATATCAACAGCTGATAAGCGACCAAATGTAACGCGCCGAACGTCTTATTCCGTTTTCTTAGCATTTCTACTGCTATATTTCTTGTAATCGAAAAAAGGTGAATTTATTTTGATTATGATTTACTCCAGAATTCTACTTTCTGGTGTCTTATCGTGTTTGAACTATTTTCTTGTGATTCTCACATCGCAACTCATTTGTGCACCAAATTTCTCCTTCTGCATGTCTTAGTCTCTTACTTCTTTTATTTGAGCACCTTCTATAATGTTTATACACTGAAATGCTGTTCATTGGCTGTGCGTCCAGCGTTTCCCTCATGATTTGGTGAAGGGAACCGTTTGGCGTTATGGCTAATGAAATTGCTCATATTTGCACCAACCAAAGTAGTAATAGTTTTACAATATTCTAAATTTCTCGTATATTGTCAGTAATTTATGTTCTGCAATGACTCCCCACTACCAAGAGTTACAGATTTTGTTTCATTACATAAAAACTAACTAGCCAGCAAGTTGCAAAAGAGTGGCCCACATGTCACTCGTACCCGCCGCCCTTAGCTCAGCGCCACCCAACACTAGCACTGCGCTATGCGCACCTCTTGTAGAGCTGCCCCCAGTACCGCGCTTTGATAGTGGCTCGGGGAGGCTGTGTATACGTTTACAACTAACATAAAGGTCAACACACATAAGGCTTGCTTATGGATTTGCTCTCAAGCAGTAAGCACGTGTTCTGCCTGCCGCATCTTTGCTTCGCTGGTTTTAGCTTTAATTTTTTCTGATTCGAGGAGAATTAATAGCGCAGTGGCAGTGCGCGCCGTCAACGACCACCGAGTAGTTCGATCGCGCGTGCGGTCGCATGTTTTGCGGCGACCATAACATGGTCGTGAGCAGCACGTCCTTCAGTCGGACACGTCGTGTTCTCGGTTTCTTTACATCGCGACATATTTCTGGGGTTTACTACGGGCCCAGAAGTCTTCCGAGCAACGCCTTCGCCACATCCCGACGGCCGGTTAAAGTTTGGCATACGGCCCAATTCTCCAATTTAAGCAACGTTTCTGAACTCATCCAAAATCAAGAATAGCTTCGGAAAAAGCTTGTTTACATCTTGCGCTCGACAAGTTGCGATTTTGGAACAAGTAAGACTGAAACTTGAGCAAAAACGCTGAATTGATCTTTGCCACATTTCTAAGGAGAAAAAAAAGGACAGCTCTCATGACCAAAAGACCTCCAACACAGAGATCTCCATTTCTATTCTGCCACAATTCGACTATTCGCCTTTGTCAGAGCTAAGCAAATGTTTACACTCTCATTGTCTCATTAAATGTAAAAAGGAGAGATGAGTTTGAGAACAACCAACTACATATAATTAACAGCTCGCATCTGCTAGGTCATGGATCACCATTAACGGACGTGAAGAAAACTCCTGCTAATGCTGTTGTGGGTCAGACCCGCATAACTGCGACAAAAAAAAAGCGAGTTTATTAGTTCTTAGCTGTCACGAGCGAACGTTATAGTGCTAGTATGAATGTATGATGATATAATGGTTGGTACTGGCGATTTGACTTAGCTTAAGACAATTCCCGGTGTCGAAAAGATTTACGTAGAAAGTCTTAGCTCAATCGATGCACCATAGCGCCGCATACAAAAAAAAACGGTCTATTTACACACACTTAGACATTTTATAAAGATGGAGAGAGGCGGCGTTCACTCATTTTTCCTGGTCATCTGGGAACTTGTACACATAGCGCCATCTCCTACTTCTGCACAACGTTTCCCTTTCCCTTTCGCACATCTAAATTCTCTCACCCACTATATATTCGTAATCAGCATGCCCCCCCCTCCTGACAAATATCCAGCCGCGTGGCTCAAAGTTTTCAATCTACGAACTCGATATCGACTGATGAAAGAAAGTAGAATTTGACACCCGTTCCGATTCGAAACTTATGAGTTTGAAGTGGTCCCAATTAATTCTGGGATGCAGTTTTTTAATTGGAACATACGTGCATGCACATACAGGGTGGTGCGATAGATATACGCGTGCACAATTCAAGCCTGCAGAAATCGCTGCTTGTTGAAGTTGTCAACTCCAAATTAGAACTAGCGCTTGGTACGCAGTGAGTGTAAAAATGGGACTGCATAACATCAAACTGCGCAGTCTGCAAAACAAACGAGCAGAAGTACGTATCCAGGCGCTACCTATAAGTGATTTGTCAACTACACCGACTAAGCGTTACTGCGGAGCTGTAGCCTCCAGGCGCCCGGCCTAGATTTTTTGTCACACTATTAGCCTTGAACCCAACCTATGAGATGTACGAATCACCATATCTCGTGTTTCGGTTCTAAGATGTCTGGTTCGTTCCTCAATAGATCCTCAACCGTTCCTCTATTCACTCTTCTGTGTTAGCTCTTCTGTACTACTCCTATTCTCTGTATTTGCATATTAGCTTTTTCTTGTGGTTTGTCATATTTTGTGATAAATCATTTATATTTTTACCAGTTGTTCTGCTAAGTCAGTGGAACCTGCGGTCTAGACCGTCCTACCGCCACTGAGCACTCGATGCGCCGCGCAGTTCTTGTCCCAATACAAATCGCCGATGAACAAGTCGTGCTGCATTTTAGCCGCGCGTCGCGTCCGCCTCCAACACTCCAGTCCGTAGGTTCTTATTACGTGTCATTGCACATGACTACATCGAAACGAAAAGACGAGTGTGCTTCAGAATCTAGAAGCACATGGATTAATCTGTACCGAAAAACTATCATACCCTTAGATTCTCACTGGCGGGTGCAGCACGGCAAAATTCCGATGTTTGTGTCAGTCCTTTGCTGAAAACAGAACACTCTTCGGTAAATCACTAGAAGTCTGCTGGATTCCTTATGTGTGTTGATGTGTTGACAAGTCCAAGACGCTAGTGCCGAATAAAACCAAGAGTTAAGAGGCAACTGCGCAAAACAGTTTCAGGGAATCAGTGAACCAGTGTTTGCTAGTCTGTTGCGGACCTTTTTCGCGCAACTTAAGTGATATGCGATCATCGATATTACGCATGCGCTCGTGATAGGATTTCAGATCAACAAAAACACGCGTTCTTCAAATTTGAGGAAGATCTCATGAGAATGTGACTTGTAAGCTTATATTTCCATAAAAGGTACAAATAAGAACCAGAATTAAACTTTTCGAATAGCGCTATTCAAAGAGACTCGGACGTATATACAAAAATATGCAGGCAAGTTCTTTGGCAGATGGGCGAAAAGTGCAGGCGGTTTTGCAAGCCTGCGTGGTCAAGCAATATCTTTCTCACTTATAACTCTACTGAGACCCTTTGATGCAAAATAACGGATTCACATAAAGTTTCCAGAAACCTGTAGGCGAAGTTTTCGATCAATTCAAGATTATCAATTAATTAGTTAAACCTCGAATCGAGCTCAAGGTCAAGAAACTCGAAAAATCAAGCCCACTTCCTCGGAAGCTATGCACGTAGAGGTTATCTGCCCTTTTGATTAAAAATATCACATCTAATTTGCAAAACACTTATTACAGTAGGGCTACAGCAGATAAATAATAGGTAAGCATGGATTTCTCCACATATTGCTAGCCACTTTCGCCCTTACATCAGAAATCATTCTGAGTTTTGTCATTTTGTTAAGAGACTCGGAAACCCGCTCTGTTGTCTTTGGAACTCTATCTACTGAAAGCATTGAGTTGTGAGCGGCGATGTATTTATGCAGTTGTCTCTTGGCTAAAAACTGGAAAACAAGAATTTTCATGCCTTTGTCGAAGTAACGCTGAGCTACCAATCTCAAGCTAGTAGTTGGTCACTACAACGCCCTGGAAGTGTAATCGTAAATATTCGGCCTTCAATCTCTATCCAAAAAATATCAAACTAGCGCATCTTTTTTTTACAGTACTTGATGACTGCAAGGCTTGCAGGGCGAAAAATTTGCAGTTTAGAATCACGTACGTAGCAATGCTCTCGGCACAAACAATGACTTTTGTCTCCTCGTAGGCGAAGAAATTTACAGCAGCTATACAAATGAATGTCCAAATGTGGGGGCATATGCGTGAATAACTAGATAAGTAGGATCTTTTCAAAGTGTTCCAATTTTTTCTTGGTTTTCGGAAAATTAGATCTTTTTGGGCTGCTCAGTAAGCATGGAGGAGTCTGCAATTTTTTTTCAGAAGTGGGTAAAATGAACTATGGTCGACTTAATTATCCTAACGACAAAACTACTCAGGCAGCGGATAGGACCCCTCCGCCGGAGAAATGGCAGGGTCGCGGCGTTTCCCCAGCGGTGGGTCTCCCATTTGTCCGGCGGAGCCCTCCCATTTCTCCGGCGGAGACCTCCCATTTCTGCTCCGGATACCTCCCATTTTCTGCTCCGGATACCTCCCATTTTCTGCTCCGGAGCCCCCCGATTTTGTGCGCCGGAGCCCCCCGATTTTCTGCTCCGCAAGTCTGCCGCGGCATACTGTAATTAGCCCTAATTAAGCTCCAAACCCCATGTGGGTTGGAGCTTAATTAGGGCTAATTACAGTATGTTGCGGCAGACTTCGTCTTGTCTCTAAACTTTGTCGACTTTGTCTCTAAACCCCATCCAAATCAGCCGAATACGACCCCCCGGGTAAGAGTTCAGCGCGACCCTCAACCCCGTCTTTACCCCATCCCTCTCACCCCTAGCGTTTGTGGATAGAAGATAGAAGAAAGAACGAAGAGATAAGACATTTATTTCAAATTTTTCAAACTTCTTCGAAAAATCATTTTATATCGTTAATCATTTCACACCCCCTGGTGTAACGAAGAATGAACCTTTCCAACCAAACAACGGTTTGTGGAACAGTTAAATTGCAGTCGCAGTTGGCCCATATCATCGGCGACTCTTAAAAGCCTTAAGAGCCTCTTAAGCCTGATAAACACCATTAAATTTTTCTGAGATATGTGAAAGACATCTTACCATTACGTAGTAATCTCCGAGGTTGATCTCTTGGGTTTTGCCAACAGGTGACAAAGCAGTCAGAAGCGCCTTGTTCTGATCGGTTACTCCTTTAGCGGCGAGATTAAAATTGGTCATAGCCTAAAAGAGCTACCAGTATATACTGAAGTTATTAGAAAGCTGCTTGTATTACACTCTTTCAAGGGTTTTCCTATTCCAGAGTATGCAATGGCACTGTAAAATGTCATGACAGGGCGAAGTTCATCAGGGATACTGCTTGCAGATAAAGTGCAAAGGTTCTAAATGCACCAAGTCCATTGCGTGATATAACGGAAAAACATGAATTGAATCAGTGGTATTTGAAAATTATAGCTTGCAAAGACACCTACCATCAAAACTGCATACTGCTCATGCAATGCTAAAGATCTGGCCAAGAAAACCTGCGCGGAATATGGTGATAGAAATAGTAATCCAGCCTGGACATAATCTGTTTGACAAAACAAGAACGACACTGCATTGAATTATACCTCGAGTATTTTGTCCAGAAAAACGTTGAATTCCGGGGATGGGTCAGCTTCTTCAAAGCGTCCTATGCGCGCTACCTTACTCAGCCAATCCACGCCCTCTCCTTTGAAGAACCAACTACATAGGGACACCTGCATATTATCCCTAGAAAGATTTTGAGACACTAGATTCCGCATATCTGGGACACGCATGCGTCTATTCAGGCCCACTTTGCCAATTTCAGAGACAGCTGATCGTCAAACAATCTATAATATTGATGATATTGCTGAGTTTCCTTTCGAGATCAGAAAACTCAAACATCGGATAGTCGTAACGCCCCTGAAATCTTATTGAAATACCACAAACTTGAGAAAACTGTTTTTACCCACACTGTCTTCAGAGTAGAGCTGATTAATGCTAGCAAGCTCCGCGCAATATCAAGACGCTGTTTCACCACGTGCCGTAGTCGTGCTGCTATGAGTCCGCAAGTAAAGGATCCACCAAATAAAGTGTCATCGGGAGTCGGCTCTACTGTACTATCATTCATTCAAACAAAGGATAAGTAGAAATGCTATATACCAATGATACCTGGGGGAGATTGAGATGCTTGGATGGCTTCCAAGTACAAACTTATGATTTGAGACCATTTCTGGACCACCTAAGTTTAGAAATCCGTAATCACTAATATCCGATAAACGCATGTCAAATCTCACTATCTGTGATCGCATGAAAGTAGAATCATGGGCGGGTCCGTCCGACATCACATACTCAGCTAGCCCAAGCTCGTCTTCCTCCTGAATTCTGAGGATAAATGGTGGTTTGAAACGCCCAGTAAACAAAAGTCCTCTTCCCCTGATATGAGGCTAACATCATGAAAAAAGAAAAGTAAAAACAAGGATTCACCAACAAAATCAAACAATTTGACTAAACAGATATCAAACCTTAGCCGCAGCTCTCTCCAATGCGATAGAAACCATTTTATCCATGCCTTCAGGTGGTTGGTGCCTCACGGAACACAACTTCTTCTGCTTTATCGTCTGGGAAAGAAACGCGGTGAATTAAACATTGTTGGAAAGCAAGCTCAGTCCTTTCTTGACATTACTCACATTTATTGGCATGTAAGGTGACAACAACCAGTTGTCCTTCAGCCATGCAATAGGCGATCTAAATGATAGACTGCAAAATTTACTGCGTACTTTAGATGAGGATAAACACACCTTGGTAAACTGCGGCTCGTGCACAGGGGCTTTCAATCCGAGTGTCACGGTCGACGTGGTTCACCCCCTCGAGAGCCGCGTCGCATGGGTCTCTCACGTGGCACAAGGCCGCATCCGCTAAGGCCTTCGCGTTACCGGGTGCGGTCGTGTACTACGTGAGAGACCCATGCGACGCGGCTCTCGAGGAGGTGAACCACGTCGACCGTGACACTCAGATTGAAAACCCCTGTATAACAGATGCGCGAAACGCCGCAAGCATTGCCGCAAGCATACGCATGAGCTCCGTGCCCAACCAATCAATAACTCGTGATAAAGTGTAAATTGAACGTACCAAAGAATAAAACGATCAGGGAACTGACTGTTCGCGGGAAACGTGCAAACGCCTGAAGATGGCTCAACATTTGCATTGATGGAATGCAAAGCGGCATCTGAAGACAATCAAAAAATCAAAACTCCCGAGACCTCGAGAAAAGAAGTAGACCTGTGACTTACTAGTATTCACTACGAATGTCCGCACTGGTTTTGGCGCAAAACTCTCGGTGAAAACAAACTCTGTATCGTAAATGGGATCCATACCAGTAAACACATATCTTGAGTTGGTTTGGTTACGTCTAAACATAGTGTATACTAAACTGAAGTCAAAATCAACAACAACAACAGAAAGAGTAGAAGTGCTAAAGCTGAAGGTAAAAAAGCTGCATTACGAAAATTTTGAAAGCAATGCTGCACAATGCAATGCATGCTCTTCACAGTTCATTACCTCTGCCCTGAAAACAAAATACGGTATGTAAAAAACAGTCATACTGATAATTCGCGGAAAACCGCATGATAATCCCACACAGACACGCGAGATGCGAACCACGCAAACGGCAAAGTGATTCATCGGTGGAGATAGCAATAAACGGATTATTTAGACGATACTTTCATCACAACAACACTAGATAGTTGCGCAACTAACCTCATTGTTTCGAAAATCCAGAATTAATCACAAAAACCACTCCATCAATAGTCTACGATGTCTCAGCAAGTCGGAAAGAGCCAAACACTGAAGGTGATTGAGTGCAACCGCACGAAAATTTGAAACATAAACCTGAAAACGAGGAACTTGCAGCAACATAAACGCCAACGCGACGAAGAGCAACGCGGAAAAGAAAAAAAACGGTAAAGAAACGCGCAAAAACAACAAAATCAAAGAAACGGCGACTAAAATATGAACAAAGAGCGTAAACAGAGGACTCATCACCGTGGAGTTAGACGTTTGCTTGCTACGCGCCAAATCGATACGCAGCCTGCTCCGGATACCTCCCATTTTCTGCTCCGGATACCTCCCATTTTCTGCTCCGGATACCTCCCATTTTCTGCTCCGGATACCTCCCATTTTCTGCTCCGGATACCTCCCATTTTCTGCTCCGGAGGCCTCCCATTTCTGCTCCGGACCCCTCCCATTTTCTCCGGCGCGGCTCTTCCAAATTTGGCGGACACGCGCCGCGCAAATTTCTCCGGCGCGGAGTCCGCCAAATCTGGCAGAGTCGCGCCGGAGAAATGGCGGACCTTTGCAGCAGGGCCGGAGAAGCCTCCCATTTGCCTGCCAGTGATGTCACCGCGATGGACCGCCCATTTGCCCTTCTCTCATTGGTCAACTGGGTCCGGCGCGACTCTGGCAGTTTCGGAGGGTCCGGCGGAGGGGTCCCGTCGATTGTCTGAGTATGATCGTATGCATGCACTTTTTGCAAGAGTCAAAGTGGATCACCGCGAAACATAAGCGGTGCTCTTATTTGCCAATCGAGTTTAGAAAAGCATCTTTAATAACACCACACGGCGATACTTCTAACTAATGATAAGAACGCAACTCTAGGCACTGTCGCTGACGCTGATTAGAATACGAATGTCGTGCACTGGATACAAAAGCCGTAAGCTCCACACGAGTTCGATGTTAGAATGATTTTAAAAAAATGACGATATTTCGAGTTTTTTCACAAATCTGATTGAGACATTGAGCTCATCAGCTGTTATTGATACAAGGCAATCTGTCGGACATTTACAGCACTATAGGGATATTTTCCTAGAACTCCTCATTTTAGTTTTCTGGAGCGAGATATGGAGTAGCTAACACCATCAATTTGGTTATTCGTCTCTGGCAAAACGCGGTGGCAATACACATCTCTCATAATTTTGCTCAAACACAATCACTCAGGGCTCGGGTCGGCTGGCACCGGGTCAAGCTGGATATCGTTTTCGGGACAAAAAGCAAAGAAATTTTTTGTGGCCAAAAAGACACAAGACTATGTTTTTTCAGTCCACGTTTCGTTTTTTAAGGGTTTTTATTAGGTTGTCCGGAAATTAATGCCCGTTTTGAATTTCAGTCGCAATAAGTCATACACTTCTCATTTCTAAGTAGGTTGCAAAGTACCACTCGATAGAGCAAAGCAAGCCCTATAATATGGCTGTCCTACTTTTGCAACAGTTCTCATCCACCTCGAGTTTCGAGCCAAAAACTAAAAAGACTCAGCAGCCCGGAAAATCGAAAAAAAGTCGTAACTCAGTTCACAAAAATCCTACAAATATTTTTGCTTGCTCACGTAAACACTATCCATATAAAACATCTATATACGCCTTTGCCGTATTTTTTCCTCTACTAGAAATAAGAAAACGGAAATTTTCGTGCATTTACCAAAGTCGTGTTGTGCCGTCCCCACATAGGTAGTTGTACATCATGAGCTTGTAGAAGTACAGACTTGAATTTTCAGCTCTCTACAAGCTTTAGTTCTCGAGAAATACCGAATATGGTTTTCTTTAGCTAGGTGGTCCAAGCTAAAATTCAAATTTCTCGAGAACCAAAGCTTGTAGAGAGCTGAGAACTTACGTTTATACTTCTACAGGTTTGTAGTATACAACTACCTATGTGGGGACGGCACAACACGACTTTGGCAAATGCACGAAAATTTCCGTTTTCTTGGTTTCTAACAGAGGAAAAAATACGGCAAAGGCGTATATAGATGTTTTATATGGATAGTGTTTACGTGAGCAAGCAAAAATATTTGTAGGATTTTTGTGAACTGAGTTACGACTTTTTTTCGATTTTTCGGCTGCTGAGTCTTTTTAGTTTTTGGCTCGAAATTCGAGGTGGATGAGAGTTGTTGCAAAAGCAAGATATTTATCTTGTAGAGCTTGCTTTGCTCTATCGAATGGTACCTTGCAATCTATTTAGAAGTGAGAAGTGTATGATTTATTGCGGTTGAAATTCAAAACGGGCAATAATTTCCGGACAACCTAATACTTTTGAGGAATAGGGTCAAAAGGTACTTCGTACGAAATTTTTGAGATCAAAAAGGTTGTTTTGAAAATTTGGTGCCGCTCGTACCGAGGCCTGCATTCACTCCACAGTTTTGGCATATTTCCAAGCTGGGTAAGAATCCTTATAAGGGACCAGTGCGTCACCTCCTTCCTCTGCTTCGCATTAGCTATCGGGTATTTTGAAAGAAATGGCTTATGAGTAAGCATGTCCCTGGAATCACTTTTCAACAGACTGAAACGAATAAGACAAAATGAATCTATCTCGTTACGAGACCTCCAAATACTAGGTTGGCGGATAATTTCTGTTACACTTTTTTCGTAAAATTCTGGAAAGATTCAGAAGTTCTCCAGAATCTTCAAAGTTGCTCCATATATAGGCCACTGGGGCGTATTCAACAGTACGACAGATGCCGCAAATGCACAATTAGCCAGCGACTTTACGACAACTTTACAAGAACACTCAAAATTGTCATTTTTTCTTTGATTTTTTCTCTGCGTCTCAGTGTTTTTTTCTGTCCTATAATTTTTTTTAGAACATATTTTCGCATACTCTCTTTTATGGTAGCACTTTGGTGCCACTAGCAGGCAAAAACAAGGTGTGAAAAACAACTCAAAAAAAATCAAAAATTCGTCGAAAATTTTTCTTTTTGTGTGTCGTGTAGGATTTGATACGTAAAGGTTGGAAATGATTTTTGTAATTTTTCAAAGATTGTTTTACGTCAAAATGCCAATGTGCGCTGACATGGCGCAACATGTAGCTTATGTGATCGTGTGCGGACATAATTGCGCCATCTCCCTATGTTCGCTAAAAACTATGGGCCATACCCTGCCCGAATACCAAATCGCCCGGTCACTTTCCAATCACATGGGAGAATGCCAACTCGCTGACATAAATGTCCATAAAATGTACTCCTACCGATAAAGTGGGTGTTTCGCGCATGGACCGCGGATCTGACAGTACCGGCGAGTAGAGCTTTGCACCCCGCCAACACTCCTCAAACATAAGAATTCTCAAAAGTTTCTTAGATTTTTAAAAAATAAAAACAAAGGTGTAACAGAAATTATCCGCCAGCCTATTATCATATTTCTAAGTATTGTGAATCATTTTGTACTATATTTTCGTGAAAGACCAACTCTACATCCTGACAGATAAAGCTTATAAGTCATCATTCTAGATACCAATACAACTTGTTTGCTAAAGGGGGACTCGACAGTGCAGTTTTCTGGATCATTGCTAACAGATTCCATAAAACGCTGCATCAACAAGTTCGCAAACAGTGAGATTATTGAGTGTTCATTTGAATGAAGCAGGTATGTCAGACAATTTGCACGGTGTAGACAAACGAGTGACTGGTTTATGTTCAAATGAGTCATACCCGGACAGCCAAACGTGTTGTCTTCACCAGTTCTAGAAACAAAATCGTTGAAGTCTGACTATCTACTAGCACAAGGACTATCCCACAAGGGCAAGAAACAACTTAAGCTATCCAAACAATATCCTTGAAAACTTGTGGTATGCAGGATGTCCCAGAAAAAATGCATTGAACGTCTGATCGCTGATAGCACTGTGTGAACAGTTCACGGTTTAGGTAACATATTGTAAAACCTGCCTCAACTTAATTTCATAGTATCAAGTGGACAACCCGTCGCTCTTAATTATGTGGAGATACGCATGTCGTCATTACAGATCACCGGCCATACCAGAGAAATCTCAAAACTTTGAACACCCTTGTCTTGGGATTTTTTGACACACCCATATGAGTAAACAGCTTTGTACACACTTGCAGAGCAGTTTACATGTTATGCAGTCCTTACAGCCACTAAAAACCTTTGCTGTAATTACCCTTCGTAACCTTTGAGCTAAAAATTACGGTAGAGCGAAAATGCTATGTTTAAGGTGAGCAATGTCAATTAACCTGAGACAAAGTTTCCAGCTTCTTTCATTTTTTGATGTGATATATGCTCTTACGGAAGCACAAATTCTTTCAAAAGTTCTTACGGTAAACCTAGCTAATGAGAGGGTATGGTGACCTGTTTCCTATTATTGATGCCAGTACTACAATACGGTACCGGAAGCGGCGACAGCTGCACAAACAGAGTTATCAACAATCAAACGTTTGCTATATATTTTGTGAGACCGTACAACTAAAAACCTTCTATACTGCGTCAGAACTTGAATATGAGTCTGTGAAATTGCCGAAAAGTCTTGACTTGTAGTAATCCAAAACTGTCTTCTTCTTGCTGAGCATCTCCTCGGAAAGCAAACCTTCCGCTTCCATTCTCCGCCAAGTGAAGCGATTTACCGGATGATCAGGTCCTTTCCACCATCTAAAGAGTTACATATCCATTATAGATTCTCAAACGATTGAACGTGAATTTGAAGAACTCACCGCACTCCAACATTGTAACCTATTACATAAACGGTCATAACGAAAGCAAAAGCAGGTCCGCTTCGACGTAGTGGTAGAGTCACTACATACCAGAACCTAGAACTCCGCATTATGCTCACAATCCAGTAAGTCTATAAGAATATCTTCCTCTTCAATCTGTTTCCGCCATGTGAATCAAACCAAGAAATAATACGAAGTTATACGAAGTTACGTCTTGATGGCTTGAAGTACCGTTGCCGTTTGTTTGTTGATGATGTTAGGTAATGGAACAGTAACCCACATCTCTACTTTCGGCAAATAATGTGCCTATTGAGCAAATTTTATTCTCAAAATGTAAAAATTTTCTTTCAAAACTGTTGAATGAAAAATCGGGCGCTCCACTATAACTTCGCACAGAGGGATTAATCGACATGCTGATTGGAAATGTCACACTTTCTCCGCACGAAAACGTCTCCCTGCATGGTTACGGTAGGTTTACGGTAGGGGTCAAAATCACAAATCGGCACATGTATCTTTCCCCTGTGCTTTGCTCAGGCAAAAGCCGCAGCAGGGTGTGTAGCCGCGGCGGTGGTCGTGTGTACAGCTTCACGATCGTCCGAATCGCCGTACACCCGTTTCAGGCAGAACTATTAGGTCATTTCGAAAGTAATTTCGCTTTTTTAAAACGGACGCCACATAAGATGGAACAAAGATTTCTAAGAGATCTTGGTAGCATTCGATGCAACATTTCATCCCCTTTTAAAAGGTTATAAAATTATTGCAGCGCAGTCAGTGAGCTTTCAAAAAATTACGAAAGTCTGCGATCCATACTTTTTGAGATGCTCAAGTTTCACAATTTTTCTAAATTTCTGCATCAACCCTCCGAAGTAGTCCAATTAACGATTCGATTGAGCAAACCTCATAGGATTCAGCGCAACTTTTTTCTCGTTTTCATATCTCGCCATAATTTCTTAAAAGAATTATTATTGAAAATTATTATCGAATTTTAACAGGCGTACGTCAGCCACATTCGCATCAAACACCAATGAATCTTCGGAACTTGAAACTTCCAAGATGGTATTATGATTTAACACTAACTTTGTAAAGCGAATGAGAGTTTACGGAATCGAAATATCTAATTTCGATTTTTTCGGGTACAGCCCGGAACGCGTTCGAAAACATGAATTATGATGATTTTATCCGCAAAAACTCCACGAAGAGGAAACTAAAAGCATCCCTTAGAAAGAGGAGAACAAGCTACATCGAATGACACTCGAGCGGATTATCCTTTAATGTTCTACGATGTTTGAGTTGCAAGAATGGAAATTGGTAGTATCAATCAAAATTCTATTAGAAAATTTTGAGGAGTTACGTGAAGGAAGAAAAAATGGTTTTGTATCCTGTAGGGTTTGCTCTATCGAATCGTTACTTGGACTCCTCCGGAGGGTTGATGTACAAATTTAGAAAAATTGTGAAACTTGAGCATCTCAAAAAGTATGGATCGGAGACTTTCGTAATCCAAAAGCTCATTGACTATGCTGCAATAATTTTATAGCCATTGGAAAAAAGGATGAAATTCTGCATCGAATGCTACCAAGATCTCCTAGAATTCTTTGTTCCATCACATGTGGCGTCCGTTTGAAAAAAGCGAAATTACTTTCGGAATGACCTAATATGTTCTACACCCGTTACCGTGTAGCTACCGCTACCCGAGAAAATGACGCTACGGTTCAAAACCAATGTGATATTTGGCATCAGCGGGCCGAATAACCCCTCTGGGCCAAGTTTCGGGCAAATCCGTGATTTTGATCCTTTATCGTAGTCCTACCGTAACTCCACCGGATGGCGCTGTCGCACGAAATAAATATCATATTCGTGTTCAGCATCAAATGACCCCCGTAGATGAAGTTTCAGCGAAACCCACGATTTTCATTTTTTGGGTCAACTAATGTGGAAGTACCGAAAATCGTGTCATCATTGCTTGAAATGAGATTGAACTCGATGGTGAGCACAAACGTTTAGTAAGACCTGTTAACATGTAGTTGGCATGTCAATTTCCTACGACGCATGCGAGGAGGTCAACACTCCTCGCTGTGAACATGGTTGAGCGTGAGGTCAGGCGCGCCCGACCTGAGGGGTCGTATTGGTGGTAAGACTGAGGGGGGGGGGGGGAGTCGTAATCAAGAATCGAATTCGCTCAAAACTAAGGAAATACTATGATCGAGTAAAATGAAGAAGAAAAGCTTTAGACCGATGCATATCGCAACTCCAACAGAACTGAAGGAATGACTGTCGTGACCAGCATATTGATTAACTCCATCGAAGTTTCAGCCGAATTTCAATTCTACCTGACACTACTAAGGTCACCAAAGAAGCCTGCTGTGTAAATTGAGTATAGTTTTCGTAATTAGCATATCAAATCACCTACTAGCACTACAGACATTACCTATTACATTTTCTAGCGTTTTCTATCGTCTAAAAACCTGAAATTCAAACATGATTAACTTGGTTTCAAAAGTGAAAGAAATTAGCTTTTTTATATTCATAACAAAGTAATGTTCCCTACCAGTCTATACTAGAAATTAGAATTCATATCGCTTTCAAATAGTGGATTGGGAAGTACTGCCAATATTCCAAACAAAACATTCTACAGTAGGTGTTTGAGCTTAGCTCGACTTGTTTCGGCTTTGTGGTAATCCGCGGAGTTGACGAGCTCAAGGTGAAAAACGCGATGTTTGGAATATTGGCAGTACTTCCTAATCCACTATTTGAAAGCGATATGAATTCCATTTTCTAGTATAGACTGATAGGGAACATTACTTTTTTATGAATATAAAAAAGCTAATTTCTTTCACTTTTGAAACCAAGTTAATCATGTTTGAATTTCAGGTTTTTTAGACGATAGAAAACGCTAGAAAATGTAATAGGTCTGGTCTGTAGTGTTAGTAGAGGTGATTTGATATGCTAATTACGTGGACTGTCTATGATGATGCAAGCTTAGGTTTTTAGTAGCGAGAAGCATATTTTCAAGCCATTATTAGCCTAAAAATGCAAAAGCGCAAAAAGTCTCGGTTTGTCGGACTTGGTTCGCAAAAGAGGAAGTGGCATTTTATGATCTTTAGGACGTCTACCAACATATTCCGTGTTCCTACCAGATGAGGCACAACGAGTCTTTTCAAGAGGAACTAGAAGAAATTTTGAGGAAAGTTTGGAAATTCAAACTCATAAGCTTCCCTCAGAAATTAGAGAGAGCTAACAACTGCAATGAGCAAAATTTTCTGATATTTTGACCATTCTGAACAAAAGCGCATCTAATTCTCATGGTACTCCCTTTAAAGTATCCAGCATTAGAGTATTTAGCACAAATGAAAAAGTCTTCTTACCTATGGGAGAAACGCGATACGCCCGTACGCTTTGGAACAAACTTAGGTGTTTCCTTGACTGCGCTCATTATCGCACTGACAAAACCTCATTGACGAGAAAATAGTACATTGCACGAAAAATTATCGACAGTTAAACCGATAAACAGAACAGACAGATAACCCAATAATACATAGTGAATGTGTTTATAGCAATTAGTACAACCATGAGGTCCATATAAGTACAGAAGAAAGAACGCGTTAGGGAAAAAAACCTACATTAACAAGCAAGCTAAACGGATACAAAAATTTATATCAATACTTTCTATTCATTCTGTTTTGATACGCACCCACGCCTTGGCGCGGCTTGTTGATGGGAGACTCCCAAATTCCGGAGGAACCTCGCCGCGGATATCGCTTGGTATTCCCGAAGATCAGCGTAAGGTCAGGCTGAAAAAGTTCTTAGTAAAACTGCTTGTTCGAAATAAGCATACGATTTTTCAGATGAAGAACATCGGAAAAATGGTCATCATGGCCAAAAAGTTCTTCATGATTCCCGGTTTCTACGGCGGAAGAGGAAAGTAATAAGGACATCGCGTCTATCCTATCTCAAATTATAACCAGAGTCAAGCGTGGGGTGCACTGCCAAACGGATAACATGCCCTAGCATGTTTCAGTCCTATACTTTCGCAGTATTTTCCATTTGCATAGGTAAGAAATAACGATTAGGTAAATCTTTCTCTAGAAAAAACGATTTCAAATAAAATTCCCACTGTGTAAAGAAGGTTCACACCTCTTGTTCGTCCCTGTTTATAATACCACCAGCTATGGAAAATGCATCAAGAGTGGGCCACCACCTCAGAAGTTTTGGGAAGCCATGAAATATGTTCACTCAATGGCCATATGTCTCGTCAGTATTCGGAGGATCGCAGGAGAAGAAAAGGTATCCACTGATAAGTGAAATCCCCAGTATACAAAAAATAAATCAACTTCTTTTGAAACCAAAGATTGACCGACTCACAAAAAATCTGAGAAAAAATTCAAGGATGCTGTACGTACTTACGATATAACAGAATTATAAAATGAAAAAAATAATCAAAACCCACCGCCTCGGTTCCTCCAAAATAAGTATTAGGATCAAAACTGCCACTCCGAACTTCTCTTACTATTCGTTCCAGAGCCCGTTTTAAACGATCGCCTTCTGCCCAAGCAGGTACCTTCTTACGAGGAGCGTCCTGGTAAAAGCCGTCGTTATATTTGCGTAAGCAATCCGAGCTCCTACCTCCTGGTCAGTTTCATCTCCGCTCGAAAGATCCTCAATGTTGTAATCATTTTCGCTTGCCGGTTTGAACTTTTTATCAGGAGTCATTTCGTAGGAACTATGACTGTCGTTACGGGAAGGTGATCTATTTTCAACATTTGATGTCTGAAATACAACTTTGCCAGTACTAATCAGAAATCTAAGACAAAACAGAATTCACTGAATTGTTGACTGAGCACATTAGCAGGGTCAAGCGTGGGGTGCGGCACGCCGCACCTGGGGGGTCGTATTAAGGAGTCAAAAGGGGAGGGGGTCGTAGTTGGGTAATCTGATAATAGTGATAACATGATATTGGTATCCTATCCATAATTAGCATGTCAAATAACCCCTGTAGACAAAGTGTGAGCGAATTCTGAAGATTCAAGATACTAGCTACCTAAGTGAAATGGTCAAATTCCAACATGGTTAACTTTGTTTCAAAGGTGAATTAGCTATCCGTTTTTGCACTCAAGACAAAGCACTACTCCTTCTTTGTCCAAGTCAAGAATCCCGCTTCAGAAAACCTCCAAACTGTGGAATTAGAAGCCAACCATAATCTCGTTTTTCCCGTTTTTCGCTTTTGATCGCTGTGTTTTCACCAAATATTGCTCAGAGCTAAGAAGATGAATCAGGCTCCAAACAGTCCTAGTGAATCTACAAGGTTTAGGCTATCGATTCATATAAATACTGTCCGCTAAAAATGTTTTTTTTGATATAGTTAATGGGGTGCGGCACACCCCCTTAAAAGCTGCGGCTGCCGCAGCTTTTAAGGGGGTGTGCCGCACCCCATTAACTATGTCATAAAAACAATTTTAGCAAACCATATTTATATGGATCGATAGCCTAGATCTCCTAGTTTTCACAGGAGTGGTTGGAACCTGATTCGTTTTCTTTACTCTGAGTAATATTTGGTGAAAGCACAGCGATCAAAAGCGAAAAATGGGAAAAACGAGATTTTGGTTGGCTTCTAATTCCACAGTTTGGAGGTTTTCTGAAGCGGGATTCTTGACTTGGACAAAGAAGGAGTAGTGCTTTGTCTTGAGTGCAAAAACGGATAGCTAATTCACCTTTGAAACAAAGTTAACCATGTTGGAATTTGACCATTTCACTTAGGTAGCCTAGTATCTTGAATCTTCAGAATTCGCTCAGACTTTGTCTACAAGGGATATTTGACATGCTAATTATGGATATGTTGCCCATTATGTTTGACACGGCCTTCAAGTAATGCTATCTTAAGTGTATAGTTCAGGGGGGGGTCTTATTAAGACAGCAATCAGGGGGGGGGTCGTAATCAGCGATCGTGTGCCACACCCCTTGCTTGACCCTGCACATTAGTAAGGTCAAGAGTTCCATCTAACAAAATGCAGTTTGCTATTATGCTTACATGAAAAATAATACAACAGAAAATTGCAGCATTCGTCGCTAGAAAGAAAAAATGATTGCGCGATTGCGTCAGGACCGAATTTAGGCCACTGCAACAGTATATACGAAGGCACATAGATAAACAGGATTCAAGCCGAAAATCCAAAATTTGAGGGAAAATCACTTATTTCAAAGCAATAAGCAAACTTGAAGACCCTAAAAATGAGAATGATTCCAAGGTTAAATCAGAACTCACATTCATACTAACATTGGCCAGATGCCGATTGAAAAGTTCGGCGCTTGAACTAACGTTCAGACGCGCTTTAGCCTCCTCCTCTTCTAAACGCCGGTGCTCCTTGATTCTCGCTTCTGCCTCCTGCATCTTTTTCTCCTCCAATATTCGTTTCTGCTCTTCTTGGATACGTTCTTCTTCCTCCTCTCTTCTCCTCCTCTCTGCTTCCAAAAGCTCTTGAGCAAGAGCTTCTTCACGCTCTCTACTAGCTTTTCTGTCTTCTTCACTCAATCTTCTGCGACGATTCTCTTCCTCTTGTCGATACCGTTCTTCTTCTTGCATCAATTCATCTGCTTCTACATGCATCAAGTGATCGCATTCTTCTTCCGAACCTCCGCGCTCTTCTTCTTCTGTTCTCAAACGACAATTTCGCATATCTTCACTTAGTGCTTGCGGTAATGCCTGATTCAAATTATCGCATTCATCGAAATCGTCGACCTCCATTTTAGGCACTGCTAGATTTTGACGTTCTTCGCGAGCTAATCTAATTCGCTTACGCTCCTCTTCTTCGTGTCTTCTGCAAACATTGGAAAAAATAACAGCAATGTTCGGTCATGCAAACCAACAGCTTTTCTCTGTGTTCCGCAGCAAGTTTCTTCACTTGATCGCACCTCTCTTTTGTGTGAGGAGAGTCTACCTCTTCCTCAAAAAGACGATCGTGGGATACCACTTCTTCTTTGGGTGACCACTGCAAATAAACATCACTGAGCACCGCATATAATAACCTCCAAAAACAGCTGAGACAATTTACCAGACATCTTCCAGCAGAATCACCACTGTTCTGTCGAGCCATTCTGCTCGGGTATGGCTTCCGACGATTTTCGCGCGAAGGCTAAACACAGTTGGAGGTTTCATAAGAAGATGATCATCAGAGACATCAGCAAAAACTCAGAATCAGGATAAGAAATTACCTTGCCTATTTTCGTCTTGATCAAAGACATCAACAATATGTACAAGGACGAAGTTACAACTCACTGTGTTCATTGTTGGTTCTCGTGTACTTTCTCCCCCCTTCTCCTGCACTCTAGCTATTTTTGACGGAACACGACCTGGCGTAGAAACGAATAGTGCCTGAAAGTTGGAAATAGAGATCCGAATATGTCATTTAATCAAGCAAACCTTAGAGGCAGTTCGCGGTTGACTAGCAACAATTTTCGGCAATCTCGAAGGACTATTGACACGTGAGACTGCATTACTCCGCCTAAATAATAGCGACAGTAAATCGAACGCACATAGAAAAATGAAGAATGCAGGCACAAAGCCGCTAACAAATTCAGATTCTAGGAATTCTCGAATATAGCTCACGCGGGACTTTTGTGCAGCCGGTATTCTTCACGCCTTCTGTCTTCAAGCTCCTCTTTCTTTTTAAGCGCTTCTGCCTTCTGTTTCTCTTCGACTTCTTTTTCATGGCGCCTTCGTTTTGCCTAGAATAGAACCGTCTAAATTATTCGCTCTGAAAAAGACTGATCAAAATGTAAAAGGGAGAAGGTGGTAGGCAAGATTAACGATGTAGTTAAAGGGCGGTTTCCACGAACAGGCAGGGTTAAGGCGGTCTGAAGCCTCCCACACTATGTGACTTACGTGTCACTAGTCAAGATATACAATAATATGGCCTCCCTATGCGTCATATACTTCAACTAAGTGAGATGTGTACCGTACTAAAGTGATTCCAAAATTGACTTATCTGCAGAACGTCTATGAACGAAGATTATAAGCGTTTTTGGAGCCAAAAATTGAATGTGCATTTGGGATTAAAATGAGTTGCTAAAATCTTACTAGCCCTCAAATAATGCAACCAAGTGTGATGTCTTTTTTATTTTAGAGTAAATAGAGTGCTATAAATGAATAAAGTGCTCTAATGATTATCCCTGCTCTATCGAAAAGCCAGAAAAAGTATCACGGCTATTTTTGTCCTACTCATATTCAATTTTTTTGCTTCAATAAGCGCTCATAATTCGTCGTCCATAAAGGTTCTGCAGATAAGGAAGGCAGACTTGGAATCAGCACTTTATGCCGATCAATGCGGTATACCTCCCATCTAAAAAGGCCACTTCGACTGCACATGCACTCCTTCTTGCCTTGACAGAATCGCATAAAACATTAAAAGCCTAGCATCTTATGGCAAAGATGGAAAGGAAGAAGAAATCGAGAAGATACTGCTGCCTGGTGAGCAACGGTCGCAGTCAGTGCGATACTTATGTGTGAAGCGTTTTCCCTATGTCTTTCCGTACTGCCTTTCACTTCACTTTTTTTGAAAACCGTACCTTTTGCAAAAAAACCTTGAGAGATTATACAGCTGTAGAGTCCTACACATTTTACACTTACCCTCAACTGCTTTTCTTCTCTTTCTTTTCGCAGCCGTTCTGCTCGTTCTCTACACTGTTCTTCCCTTAGCAGCGCTGCTTTCTCTTCTTTCTCCTTTCGCAATGCTTCTGCCCTCGCTTTAGCCTCCTGAAAACTCATCAGCCTTACTAACTAGGGAAGGATACTTGATCACCGTGGCCATATAAAATGCGATGTATACCGTAAGATGCGTCTTGAAAGCTGATTCTGAATCCGCGTTCGATATTTGCGAAACGATCTTCTGAAGGAAGTTGTGAACTTTTCTTAGGAAATTTGGGAACTTTTGGACAATTAATTACCGAATTTGGTGTAGTTTACCGTTTGATGCTATTGAAGATCTTGAGCAGAGTAATGTTGTATTTATACTTGTCTAAATCATATCCAGCACTTGAAAGGTGAGAAAATTTTCTACTGAAGATTCTAACAATACGCAGTAACGCAATTCATCCTCAAGGAATGACATAGATCCACCCGTTTATCGTTTCGCAGATGTAGAAGACAGTTCTCGAACCAGCATTCAAAGGCGCATTTTTTGATATACAAAACAATATGAATGGCCGCAGCCACCAAGTATCCTTCCTAAGATCCAGAATAATTTTGATGACGCAGTGACGGTAAATCAATCTTAGTGACCGAAAGACAAGTAGACTCAAATTTCAGTGTAGGGGCAAGATGTTTTGGCGTGGAGATTTTTCAATGCTTACCGCTTTCGTGTCAGCACGCGAGTTTTTAGCGGCTGCTCTTGTGCGAGAAGGCGTGGGAACCGTTGCTCGCTTTGGCGACAGTGTTCTGGCAAGCTCCTGAAATTGCAACAACAGCATGATTGCATCAAAATTCCGTACACATGTAATGTCGAGCAAGGTTATCATTCGTCCCTGCGGTCTGTCTGGTGAAAGGCATATCACAGGAGTCACGCCTTAGCAGGATACAGTATACACATGCGCAACATACTTTCATGCAAATTGATACAAGTCAGAAAAAAATGACCTGGTCTTCCATGACGCGCCGTACTGCTGACTTGTACTGTCGTTTACATGGCGTTGTTACGATATGTTCATGAACTACCCTTGCAATGCGTGTATGCGAAGCTCCCGCTGCTGCCCGTGGTTCCCTGACATAGAAACGGTTAACACTCACAACATACTCACAAGGAGAGGATACTTAGTCGAAAGCACCAATCCAGATGAGGCATATACCATCTTAGAGCGCTTGAAACGCTGATTCTAAATCTGCAGTTTCTAGCTGCGGAGCGGTTTTGTAGAGGGAGTTATGAGGGGTGTTATCTCTGAGGTTGAGGCGCCCTCCACCAGGTCTCCCCCTACCTATGAGCACTGTAGAGGAGTACCAATTGTGGCAACTGACCTAGTGGTAAGTGACGTGCTTGATAAAGAGAGTGTCAAGGTTTTAATCATCTTCGCATGCTAAATTGAACTTCTAAATGGCTTTAGAGCCCTAAAGCATGAAACTTCTGATGATATGGATACTAATCGAAGTTAGAAGTGTTAAAAAAACTAGAGTAATATGAGTATTACAATCCTTACTGTAATCTTCATTCAAAATACTTACCACTAGGTCAGTTGCCATCTGCTGATACTTCTCTACAGTGCTTACAGATAAGGAGAGACCGCTGGAGGACGCCTAAATCCCAGAGCGGAACACCCTTCATGACTCCTTCTACAAAACCGCTCCGCAGCTAGAAACTGCAGATTTGAAATCAGCATTTCAAGCGCTTTAAGATGATATATGTTTCATCTGGATTGGTGCTTTCGACTAAGTATCCTTTCCTTGTCAGATGATTTTAAAAAACGCACTCTCCGTACTGTGGTGTCGGCGCAACACCGCGCAAATTATAATTCCTCGAAGAAGAAGCGGTGGTATCATACCCGTAATGTGGTCGAGACGGAGTCTTCTGAAGAAAAACATGAGAAAATCATCATTTTAGGTATGCCTCAAAATGTGGATTCGATAAGCAAATTGAGGTCTACTACTAGAGCACAAACAGCCGCTGCCGTAAGTTTTTTCTATATGCTCCCAGCTGGTATTTTCTTTTGCAAACTTGGTTGCTTACAAGTTTGCAAAAGAAAATACCAGCTGGGAGCATATAGAAAAAACTTACGGCAGCGGCTGTTTGTGCTCTAGTAGTAGACCTCAAAACCTAAAAAAGAAAATGAATGAGAAGCCCTTCAGTTCCAATCATCGTCTTACTCTGGTCTGCGATTCCGTCGACACGCCTTTAGCACAACTTTGTACATGCTCCTCTCTGGAGGAAGGTATCTCCTTCTTGATTTCTGCGCTCTTAATGAAAAAGACTCACAAAAGAAGTCTTATGACCTAAAGAGGCCTTTCCCAATGAGATACACATCATCAAAAGGCTCAACATCAGAACACAGTCAACACGCTCAATATCATCGAAAGGCTGTGGAACACTGATAAGAAAGCGGCCTTCTACATTTCTAAGTGGTCAGACAACAAAGTTAGAGGTGTCCTTCTGCTTTTGGACTGCTTTAGAATACCGTCGTAAAGTAAATTGTCAGTAAATGCGAGACTGTTTCAGTCACTCCCTAAAAATATAAATCGTACTCCCCGATTTTAAGAAATTCAGAAAGTTGAGAAAACGCTCGTTTTCCTTTGTCCCGAAGCAAGTCAACAAACCGCAAAACGAAAAAAAGTGCGCATAACTTGGCTAGGTAAAGTCCAAATTTGAAATCAGCGTCCGACCACGGCCGTTGTGGTGTACATATTGTTCGGTAAAGCCACTTCAGGACGAAAGGCTTTCTTGTTGAGATTGAAAATACTCAGTCACTCAATAATACATAAGAAAAAATTTGATTGGTTGTAGAAGAAATGCTTCAAAGGAATGGTCAGAAGTCAAAGTCCACTGTAAACAAGCTGCAGGCCGTTGTATGCATCTTAGACCGCTTAGTCCAAATCTGCTCTATGTATTTGCTAGAGGCCTTTTGAACGAGTTTGAAAGGTACCAGGGTAGTGTAGTTACATACGAGTTGCAAAACCAGATACAAGAATGCCTTTTAGCTCACCTTTACACCTGTATATTTTGGCGCAGAAACAAATCAAATACGGATTTGTATGCCTGAATTTGCACTTTGCACACGTCCTTCGCACTATGATAGCTGTTGCGACAAATGAAGTACATTTGAGTACAACGTTCTGTGCTGCGTCCAATGGTATGCAGTTGTTGAAATAGCCACATTGACTTCTGACCACTCCCTTGTTGGAGAAAACAAGAAGAAATACAGTATCACCAATCAACATTCAGAATTGGATATTGACTCGTACTATAGAACTGTGATCAAACGATCTACTTTCATGGAAAAGTGGCGATTTGTAAGACGTTCAATTTTTTCATGAATACAAAAAGTTTAGTCAACAACAAGCGTTCACAATCAAGCTGAAGGTAACCTTACCATTATAGGGGTTGCCTCCGAGTTGCTTACTGTCTCTCCAGTACTTGATGAACAAAGTGTTTTCTGCAGCATAAGCTCTGGTTCTGGAGGAGTCACACACTCTGCCTAGAATAAATTTCTTAGTTGACACACACAGACACAGGCTGTGGTCTAACCTTTACGTGCGTGATGTACTCCTGCTGAGGTAGTCGCTCAGCGCTGCCTCTTGCAGAGACATAGGTCTCTGTGGTACAAGTGGAATCTTCAACGTTGCGCTGTTGCACAGCAGCACCGAATTCCTGCTCTGACTTTCCATGGGCAGGTACTTCATGATGTATGGAATTTTGTGCATCTTCGTAAGAACTTTCGGACTCAGCTTCCATTTGTGGTGGTTCCACCTTCGAAGGCATTGAGTAAAAACAAGAAAACAACTGTGCGCAAAGGCTTCGTATTTTACCACACCTCAAAGAACTCGTCAACTTGCGCTTGTGAAGATGTCTGTTCAACTTGTGATTGTGATAATGGCTGCATCTCTGCGTCTTCACCGACATCATTATTGACAGCGACAGTAGCAGCACAAGCCTGCGAGTTAGTCTGAACAGCTGGATTGCGCAGAGTATTCAACTTCGAACATCACGGTTTAACTCAACCCTATTTCTAACTAGCAACATGAATATTATGCCAGTTGAGGCTAAATCGAAAAATAAAAATTTGCGCAATTTGTAAAGTCATGAGGAAACTTTGTATTTTCAAAATTAAAAGCAGTGAAAGTGTCAAATCTTGGAATTTTGAGAAATAAAGAGATATAGAAACCATATAAAACCAACCTCAAGTTGTTGATCACTTTCTTCGTACTCTTGTTCCACCCTGAAGTACCATGTGAGTTTTGTCCAATATCAGTTTCACTTAAGGTTCCGAAATCTCACCCCCTATCTTCAAAAGTCAATGAATAGCTGGTGTAAGAATCAGCGGTTTCTCGGAGACGTGCAAATGCTGCTGCTCCACGACGTGGCGTTTTCGGAACTGACTTTTCCGGCGCACCCCTGCAGTACAGTAATGGATAAAATACCAAAAATAGCCGCTAAAAAAGCATACGCATTTCTTATGAGTTCTTTTAGAGCAGCCTTTTGCGATTGAAGCCAGTTCAAATTTTCCGTGACAACAGCGCTCCAACTTCTCATGGTAGCCGCTGAACCGCGCTCAATGATCTAAAAATAATGTATTTACAGCCCTAGCGCAAACATAACTACTGATGAACAGAGCAATAGTTGTGTGTTTGTAGTGTTCAAAAAAGTGAAAAATAGTTGAACTAGAATTACCTCTTCCAGTTTGAAAGCAGGATTTAAGAGAATCTTGTGATCAAGCGCGACTCCATTTACATCTCCGGTATCGTTCTCCACCTTCTCGGTTTCTCTGTGAGCTTTTGATTTGTTTTTTGCTCGCTTCGGTGGCATCTCTGTGCATGAAAACTTTTTTTTGTACAATTTACCAGATAAAAGTCACATAAGTGTACAGGGAGGAGACTACATAGCATGCTATCTATATTCAAAATATGACTTTTTGCACAAATAGGTCTCAAATGTCACCTTTGAGATAGGGTCTCTTTGGAAACTTCTCAAATTCACCACGAAAGCAATGCACGCCACTAACCAGGTTTGGAGGAATTTCCAAGGTAGCATTCTATTATAGTTCTACGATACCCTCACAAGGTCTGTGGACTAATCAAAACACTTAACATTACAATATTGAGACTAGGACAGCTGACTTTTTCTTGTACCGTTTGCAGTGCATACGTTTTGGTCGGAGGGGCCTTCAAAATTATGAGAAAAAATGTTGTTAAAATCATATCAGATCAATCGTCACGCCACTTCAGTGTTCAGATAGAAAGTGCTGAGTTTGAGTAAAGACATAGACGTTCATAAGGCGACTTAATATCCAACACTGGAGCTGTGGGTAAATCTGGATGATATTTTTTCACGCACTTGCAAATTCTGCCGAAAAAACTCATAACAGTGTGCAAAAGCAAGCACAGGAAGAGAAAGACACGGCGCATTCGACTAAGTTCGTTTGTATTGGAAAGAAGGAAGATGCCTGGAGTTGTGTCCGCGCACGAAATGGCCAAAACGCAGAAACATAAAATAAGACCGGAAGTAAAACCGTCGACGCGATATTACCGAAAGACATCTTCGGTTGTGATCAGCTCATTTACGGAGACTGAGCATGCACATTATACTTTGGACCAAATCGAATGATTAGTCGAGTAAATCATTCGAATGCGAATGATTCGGAAACTCGAATATACGAAAATCTGACATCTCGAATAACATTCGATAGTCGAATATTCGAAAAAAATTTTCGAATATTATTAAAAAGTCGAATATTCGAAAATCTTAACTTTCGAATATTATTCGGTAGTCGATATTCAATTCACTGATTCGATCATTCGATGTTATATGTATGCTGGTTTTACTACACACGAGTTATCAAGCTTTTAATGTACAATCACGTTTTTGAAAAGCGTTGAAAAACACTTGTTACGGTCTCACTAACACAAACTATTTGAAGAGTACTCGAAAATCGAATAATATCGAAATTCGAATAGCGAATGATATTCGATATTCGAATATTATTCGACTCAAAGACTTTCATTTTCGAACAACATTCAGTAGTCGAATATTCGAAGATTTCAATTTTGTAATAATATTCGATGTTCGAATATTCGACAACTCCGATTCTCAAACATTATTCGATATTCGAAGATTCAAAAAAAAAATTTCGAATTTCCCTAAGTATAATGCACACCCAACAAGCCTACTTCTTTGTAACACATATGCAAAGAGGAAAACGGAATGAAAATTGTACAGAGAGGGAAAAGAAGAAATAAATTTGTTGCATTTGCAGTTTCGCGCCCAAGCCAGCACGTTGCGCGTGCATACTCGTCCGCGTTTTGTATGTAGTTAACGTGCTCGAAGCGAACGTCCTTTAAAAAGCGCAGTCCAGTGAGCTGGCACGCTTTTATTTTTAGAACTTTTGTCTTTCTCCTCTTCTTTCTCATAATAGAAGGCGTTTGAGTCTGCTGAGAGGCCAGCACTTCAAGAACAGCAAATCAAAGTACGTTATGACAAGGACACTCGCAAACGTTCCAAATGTATCATTAGTTGGGTTTTTTGTCAAAATTGTTTCTGTTAACAAACCAGACTCGTCAGTCCTTTGTCGTGACCAATGTAAAACATCCTAGATTGTGTATCTTACTCGTTTTCTTTTCGTAGGCATGAGCCTATATCTTATATCGCTCATATAAGACTTGTTAAATGTATAAAGATTCTCGAGCATAGTCGTAGAATGTACATCTCCATTTCTGATTCGCGAAGCGAATCATTAATCGCTGTGGTAGTTTGGAACGATTAGAGTCTTTTATGTCAGCTCATAATCAGCCATTTTTAAAAGACGACTTTTAAAGGACGACTTAGACATCATACACACTTAGGCTGGTTCATACTAATTCCCATGTTCTGGAAACTGTTCCCGCACAGTTCTCATACTGTGCTGGAACTGTGCGGGAACAGTTCCAGAACATGGGAATCAGTATGAACCCAGCCTTAGTTGGATGTCATCTCTTCTGTGACTAGGATATTCAGGAACCTGCATATGTCTACACAGCATGTTCATACTTGTGTTTCAGAGTGTTTTGCATGATGCGCCTCTAAATTCACGAGGAAACATATTCAAATCTTGCCAAACAATATGTGCAGTAGCGTTTCCAAGTCAGAATAAAGCAGGTCAAGTATGGTGCGTGCCTGCTCAGACAGTCGAAGGGATACCTCCGGAGCGAAAATGGGAGGGTCCTGGACTCTGCCCAGCGGGGGTTTGCCACTCGTGCTCCGGAGCCCTCTCATTTCACGCATTTTGGTCCTCCGGGGGTCACCGTGACGTCACAAGAAGGCGAATGGGACCCCTCCCCGGGGCTCGCAAATCTCTGCTCCGGGGTGCGCCAGATTTGGAGGAGCCCCGGAGCACCAAAATGGGTGAAATGAAAGGGCCCCAGAGCACGAAGTGGCAGACCCCCCCCCCCGGATCGCGCCTCTTGACATACACCCCCGGGAGACGGTCAAGAGGCGCGATTTTTCTGGCTGTCACCAAATTAAAACTGCAGTTTCGTGCTACGGGAGTGTTCAAAAGATGCCAGATAAAGTCCATAGGCTCACTAGCCGTTTGATGCAACTTGATAAGTTTGATGACTTTTGCCAGAAAAGTGACCGAAATAATTAAAATTGTTATAAACTGCATTTTCATAAGTTTTTGGCCTTCAACAATTTTATTTTGGATCGATTTCAGATGATAACATCGAAAAATCCCTGCGATTCTCCAATATACTTCTTTTGAAATTTCAAATAATTCTGGAACTTCATAATACATTAAATATGTGCTATATGCTGCCCATCTGGCAATAAGAATCGCGCCTCTTGATATACACCCCAGACACCCGCTATTTACCCTCCGGAGGTATCCCTTCGACTGTCTGTGTGAGCGAACGAGGGACTAATAAAGTCGTTGATTGCGCTCTCATAAATCAAACATGGGGAGTAGCAAGCACTTTCGCAAGAAGAAAGTGTGTTGCAACCGAACTGGATTAGGAAAATCTTTACCATGCTTTCTAGTAAGACTAACCTCTTGTTCTGCTAAATTTTTTATGAAATTGCTTGCCAAAAGTTATCTTGTTTAGTTTGCCATCCTACGGTCGACTGTTCACCTTACCCTCACTAGTTAGTTTTCCGCAATTTTCTGATGAACCGTTTGTGTCCTCTATATGCTCCAAAGTGACTGCACTTCATTCGTTACATAAACATCGGGAATTTAGATGACAACGGAGGGGGGATTACGCCAGTGTCTCACCGATTTGACTAGGGCGGACACCAGCGGCGACTATCAGAAAGCTCTTCAAGCTGCAAACAGAAGTCAGTTGTCTTTTTTTGGGTTTTATCGCAAGAGCAAGAAGAAGGATTTTGGTAGAAAAGGCGGTAGACTGTTGTTGCAAGATCTCACCTTATAGTAATCCGCCGTTATCCAAAAGAACAGTACGCTTTCAAATGTAAGCTGGTATGTCTCATCCAACTGGGTATGTATGACGATGCTCTCACTCTACTCAAAAAGACGCCGCCGGGGCAGATGGGGTAAGATGACTGCTGCAGCGCGGTATATGCAATCGTGGTTTTACTTTCCTTTTAGAGAGTGTGCATTTGAAAAGGCTTACATTTTTTATCGCCTTGAAAAGAACGATGAAGCTCTGGAAGCTCTCGAAGCTTGCGATGCCAAGGATCATCGCGCATTGGAATTGAAAGCCCAGCTGTTTTATCGACTGGACAGATTTCAAGTCCGTTTTATTTCAAAAAGTTTTTGGAATGCTCGTTCTTTTTCATGCCCAACTTTCTTTCAGGAGGCATACGATATATTTCGAGATCTGCTTCGCAATCATTCTGATGATTATGATGATGAACGCAAAGCAAATTATCTAGCCGTCCAAGCCCAGCTTGAAGCTCTTGGTGTCAAACAGGTATTTGATGACTTCAAAGTTTCGTCTGTTGCTTATATGTGATTTGTATTTTCAATCATCGTGCATAGTTGAGTAGCGACAGACTGTTACTATCGTCTGTCTCCCAGGGCGCCATCTATTCCTACCGGGCTGGCTGCGCGAGCGGTTCGCGTGCGGTAGCCGTGATTGGCGTAAGAGCGCGCATTCCCTCCTGGACTTGGTTTTAATGGCATCAAACTGTCACTGAAGTTTTAATGGCATCAAACTGTTACTGAAGACTTTAGTTTTCACATCAAATTGTCACTGAAGACTTTAGTTTTCATGGCATCAAATTGGCGCTGAAGACTTTTGCGCTTTTTACCATTGCAGAGTGAGCAAATGAAATGTTGATGAAGGCATTGGTTTCGTTTCATTGGTGTACGCTACTTGACTTTATGACGGTGGTATCAGACAACTCCCTGCAAGACCTGAGTAGCTTATTCCTTTCCTGATGATTTCATGTGGATAGAGACTAAAGAAGGTTTTGAATGTCTTTTCTGTATTGACCACGATCTCTTGAAGTTTAAGCTAGCTTTCCCTAACGCTGTGTAACTGCAACGATTTGAGGACGTTCAAAATCGTATTCGATCTTATCATGTTAATGAAGGAGATGAAGAAGTGCCTGCCTAAACATCCGATCGTAAAGCATTCTTGATTGCATTCGCAATATGCATGCTATATTTGGACTTAGCGAGTGGACTTGGCGTTCCCCTCCTGTTAAATTCTCGTAACATTTACATCGTAAAAGGTTTTGACTTATGAGTGGGTTAAGATCTCCATGCGCTCTCTAATGCTAGATATCTAAACAAGTATATTGTAAAAGTAATCTAGCTGTACTGGCATTGCTACAAAACCTACCAGCATCAAACAACCATGGTCATCTGATGGTTCTTCGCATAAGTTCCTTCACTCTGAAGATATCACGTTATTGTCCAGAACTTTACAATCCATTCACTTAGTGAAGTGTTTGCACACATCGCATTACAACTAAGTAGTTAAAATTTGATGAACTTCCCATCAATCTCAACTTTTCTCCTTTGTTATCAGAAAAGCGGCCAGTAGTAACAAAGTTGTGGATCTATTACAACTGAGTAAACCGTCAATTTCAAGTATTTCTCACGCAGTTTGAGCTTTGAATATCAGCGACAGAGATTAGAAAAAGACATTCCATAACATTTGCAACGAGTTGTACATACATATGTATCTAACTAAGTCAAGACCAATGAGATCAGACTTAGCTTTGTGATGGGAAAACATCGAGAATGCGAGTTCTCCACTAAAAGGGAATGATCGAGTTGTACTAGACTTGACAAGCTCGGGGAGAAAGAAGTTTCCACAACAACAACCGTAAAGAAAGAAAAAAATGGTATACTTTGCTAACATAGAAGTTCTGCGAACAGGAGTCATAGCATCCCACGGCAAATAGATAGCTTACATATTTATTTACCACTTCGTAGTGAGTTCTCAACTTTTACTTACTTTCCTAACTTATCCGCACCTCCCGATCAACAGCGCTCGAAGATGTTGTGACGCACATGCACCAATGCGCGCCCCTGCGCCAATCACGGCTGCCGCACGCGAACCGCTCGCGCAGCCAGCCCGGTAGGAATAGATGGCGCCGTCTCCCAGAAATGTTCCCATAGGCATCGTTCTGACCCGGACTCGTCCGAACCCGCCTGAGCCGCAACGCGCTGGACTCAGATGAGGAAGCAACGGAGATATGTCTGGAAATTGCCATAATGCAGCACGCGTGCTGCGCGCGTTGTGTGCTATTAGTCATTTTCCAGGCATATCTGCGGTGCTTCCTTCATTTGACAGTTTCCAGCGCGTTGCGATTCAGGAGGGTTCGGACGGTTCGGCGCGGTCTGAACGTTGCCATAGGTGCCATGTCAGCTCGCTGACTTTCGCTTCCTTCACGTCAACTCAGCAAATTTAAGGCATATTCTCAAAGTAAACATGTCAAAGCGATCGAAAGGAAAAAAAAATTGTTTTATGTAGACATACGTTTCAGCAAATTGATGACGATAATGAGACCTATGAGCAATTTTACAATACAGCTTGTCAACTAATCGAAGCTGAAAAGTATGAAGCCGCTCTAGCTGACCTCGATAAAGCAATAGGTTGGCTGTGAAAAGATTTGTCTTCCATGCTCACTTAGTCCTTTTTTTCCAGCTGCTTGTCGGCAAACTTTGAACGAAGAAGGGCTAGATGACGATGAGATCGAAGACGAACTGGCTATGCTACGCGTTCAACGTGCTTTCGTTCTTCATAAATTAGGTAGAAAGAAAGAGGCGCTCGAAATTTACAAGACACTGCAGGCAGCCGGGTTGGTCTTTGACGCAATCATTTTTTGCAGCATTTCGATACGGAGCTCCCATTTTTCATTTATGATCACGACTCAGATTGCTATTTGTAGACCTTCTGATGCGAGCGTCATGGTAACAGTTGCGAATAATCTGGCAAGTGCATTGAAGGATCAGAATTTGACGGAATCAAGGAAGAGATTGAAATCTGCCCTACAAATGGACCAAAAGAAACTGTCCACCCGTCAAAGGCGCATTTTGATGCTCAACAATGTTAGTAGCCGTTCAACGAAATTTTAGAGAAAAGGAGAGAAAATTTAGGCGCTTGTGCTACTTCACTCCAATCAAAGGGAGCCTTGCCGGCGCGCTTTGGACGAGTTGATCAACATATTTGGAGTTTCAAAGGAAAGTCGATTGATCGAGGCTGCTCTTTGTTTTAGACTGAACGACTTCGAGAAGGCCATAGAGATATGTATCTGCATCCATCGCTTGATTTTTAGATTTTCATAGCAAAATAATTGCTATGAAGTTGGTGCAAGAAAAACCGAAGTTTTGAGTCCTCACTTCGACTTATAGGACATTCGAAAAATCGCGACGAGGGCGCGACCGCGCGCGACGCGCACGCATCTCTCGGCAACCGCGTTTACTAGGTTTTCACCTCCACTCGAATGGTTTTTCTGCTAACGGTATTTAGACATTAGAAGAGATTGAGCTGAGAGTTGAGGTGATGCCGTTTTGTATTAAAGCGTTTTCTGCTCCTGTGGGTGCAAAGACCGCAGTCAAATTCGTCGTCACGATGTTACAAACGAACTGTTATAGCTTCCCAAAAACCTACATCTCTCAGTGCTGTGAAGACCATCATAAGCAGCAAAATTTCGCAAGACAGCTCAATCCACCTGTACTAGTAGGATCGTGACCGAGCAGAAAATTATAGATTGAAGAACACACATCAATTCCTCCAAAGTTTGTTAGTATGAATGGTAAATAGCCTGTCATATAGGCGAAGTTAACAGTGCCAAAAAAGCTTGAAAGGGCTTGGGCAAAAAAGATGTGCAAGAAGAAAAAAAATCAAAAGCAAGGTTGTCAACTTTTTTGCAACATTTTCTCATAGGTGTAAAGTCCCAAATTATGGAGTTTTTTGATTTTTGCTTACTGAATACTTAAACACTCCTAAAAAAATCTCGAAAGGAGGCCCGAGCTTTACAATTATGTTTACGTTCAGAGAAATTAGCGAACTTTGGCGATCAGCTTTCTTCAATAAAAATAAGCGGACCACAGCATGAACGCAACGACTACCCATGTTGAAGTGTCGATATCTCAGCTTAGGTGATCACAAAAATAAGTGTGTGTAATACAGACAGTTTCTACCACAAGCGGTATCTGGATTTTCGAATGAACGCCATTCGCGCATGTACCTGGCCAGAAAAGTATTGAAATGAAATCCTGGTTTTGAGTAGGTTATGTAAAGCTCAGTAAATTTTCAACAAATGAAGTTATGAGCTTGTTTCAACCACCATCAAATAGAGCATGAAAAGAGCTTCTCAACAGTATGCTAAATGTTCATCAATGAATGATTATTGAAAAAGTTGTCAAATAAGGCCTGGCAAAACGCTCGTCACTTTTGCACCAAAATAATAGCATTTTTGGGGAGGGATGGAGAGTTTTCAAATTGCTGGATATCAGTTACGCATGCTGACGTGACGCGTGCTATCGCTTACATAACGTATAGGAGCGTATACCAGTGGTGGACCAAGGAGGGGGGGGGGGGCACCGCCGCCCCCGAGAATGGGTCGCGAAATTTCCGAAAATTGTCCACATCTTATATATATAAAGCTGAATGTCTATTTGTATGTCTGTCTGTCTGTCTGTCTGTCTGTCTGTCTGTATGTCTGTCTGTCTGTCTGTCTGTATGTCTGTACGTATGTTCCGAATAGAAAATTCCATTTCGAACCTATCCGGACCAAACTTGGCACACATACACTTCGGGCCCCGGCGGGTGTCATAGGCTACTTTTCGTATCGATCGATATCGATTTTATCGATTTTTTGCAAAATTTGAGCTACGGGGCTGGGAGTTGATACAGGGGGGTAATCGAGCATGCTGATTACGAATATAATAATGAAAGGGCCGGGCGGAGCCGGGTAAGTCAACTAGTAAGTTATAAAAACGCGCAAGTGACCTGTTCATACTTGTAAATAATTGAAATAAGTCTTCAAAATTTTTAAGAATCCAAATCAGCTTTGTAAAAGAACTCTTTGCCGCCGCCACACCCCCTCTTTCTGAAATTTGAACTTGTGGGCCCGCAAAAATTTTGGGAACCATCTCAAAAATTCTTTCGTAGTGCTTGGACCCCACGCGCTTTTATTCGAAATTTTTTGTCGCCCCCCCCCCCCTCCGAATGGAAATCTTGGGACCGCCACTGGCGTATATATTAGGGGATTTTTTTCTCGCGCCATATCATATTCTAATTTAGACGCTTTCCGATGGGGATCTTCAAACGATTCTTACTCAAATTCATCTCATGGTAAACAGCGGTATGTTTCGGTTTCCTTCAACTTTCTTCACCTTAAATCTCGCTGAAACATGTCTAGGAAAGCTTAACGAAGCGATAGCCGCTCTGAGTAAGTTGCCTGCAAACGTTCGACTGCAGCCTGCTGTTGTCAGCCTTTCCGTGAATCTTCTTGTTTCGCTTGAAAGAAAGGACGAAGCGCTCAAGGTGGATCATTTTAATATTCTTCTTCATATATCGTGCCTTTGTAGATGCTTGAAGAGGTCATAGGACATGCTCGAGATACTCAAGTCCGTAAACAGGCGCTTGACCAAGCGGCTGTGCTAGAGATGTCGCGAGGAAATGCTGCCGCCGCTGCTGCTTATCTTGAGAAGCTAGCTGAGTATGTTTATTTAGGTCCTAGCGCTTGATCTACATATTTACTTTTGTTACAGATTCGATTCAAGCGACGTACGGATTCTTTGCCGGCTTATTCGTGCATATACGGATGTAAATCCCAAAAAGGCAGAAGAGTTAAGCCTGCAGGTGTGATAGCACAAAGCTTATGGACAACATTCTTCTGTCATATTGATTCTTCATGCAGGTATTCCCTGGAGCAACTGAGGAAGGTGTTGATGTGGATGGAGTAGAGGAAAGTGACTGGATTCTTTATGGCGAAAAGTACAAGCAGAAAAAAGAAGCCAAGACTGAAGTTGAGGATACGGTGAGCTTTTCTGTAATTCTGATGGTTTTTCAAAGAATGTATTGCAGGAAATCGTTACGAGAAAGTTGAAAAACCGAAAACGAAAGCACAAGATTCGTCTCCCCAAAAACTATGATCCCAATGTGCCTCCAGATCCAGAAAGGTTAGCTTCTGTGGTTTTGGCACGCTTAGTAGAGAAACATTATCTTTCGAAGAGCGGTAGCGTAGACGGTTATATAATTATGAAATGCCACTGCTGTTTTGATGTTCGAAGTTGAAAACCGCAAATAACTTGGAGTTTCAAAGACATCTACAAACGTTGAAAAAATTCTACACCTTCAAATGAAATGATTAATTTTTTAGGTGGCTGCCAAAACAGGAGCGAGCAGCTTACAAAAAGAAACAGAAGAAAAATCGCGATCGTGACATTGGAAGAGGAACCCAAGGATCAGCATCTGCTAATCCCAACGTGTACGTACCGGAATCTCACAATTTGCCTCTGTATTTCTTTCTTATTGCAGTGAATTCACATCCAATTCTCCAAGTTCACCAAGACCTGTCGCTGCAGCACTACCAGAGGGACCTCGTCAAATGCGTCCGAAACAACAGCCAAAAAAGAAGAAGAAGCCTTCAAAGTTCTAGAGAGTTTAAGTGTTTCTTCTGCTGTAGCTGCAGCTATTGATTTCCTTCGAATTTTTTTGTTGTTTCCCTTACTGTCCCCTAATCGACATTGTTCACGTTATGATTACATCAAAAACTGGTTCTTCATGTATCACATATACCGGGTTGGCAAGAATGCTACTGGGCATTGATTTTCGACAAATTCTTGCTTCGATGTAAGCATCAACTGGGACTTGCGGTCACATCAATAGAGGAAAGCAGGCGCTTCTGGTTAAGTCGACAAGAATCCAAGATAGAGGTACATGTTAGTAATCTGCAAAAACTGGCCTGAAGTTACGAATTTCACCCGGCGGTGGATCTCTATTCACAGCATCCATACCTTCGATAGTCCAGAGACAGGGCGTCAAAAGTGAAGGTTGTTTGAACATATGTCCTCATAAAAAGTGAAGGTTGTTTGAAGAAGATCAGAGAAGAGAAAATGACGTGAAGCAGATATAAAAAGCAAAGGAAACTGCTGAAAACCGGATAAAACGCTGCAATGAGGTTTGAAATCTTTCATCTGGTGGCTCTTCAAAGTCAAGTTTTCGCTCCGACCAGCAATTCGCAACGCGGGGAAAGCGAAAAAGAGCTAATTTCTTTTTTGTGATTGTTTCAAAAAAATGTTTCGGAAGGAGTGGTTATCAAAAAGAAGATAAACAAGAAAGAAATTATTCATGAAGACGCAAAGTTTCTTTTTTAGTAGGTCGAAAAGAACGTCGAAGCCAAATTTAATTTTTGATGCGTTCTTTGAATTTTTATCCCCACATTGACATTCCTGTTTCCTGGTACGTTGTCTGGATTGTTGCGCTTATTGTTCTGTGCAAAAATCGTCCAAGCTAAAAAAATCGCTGCGAAATCACTGAAACAGAACAAGGTGAAGAAAAACGCACTTTTTACAATTTTCGCTAAAAAAATTCCACTATATTCGACGAGGGCTGAGTGGTCTTCTGCATTGTGGACAGAAGCAAGATCTATAGAATACGCGAAAAAACCGCGTGAAAGAGTTAAACTGGGAGAAAAACAAGAGATTTTCGAAAACAAGCTTTTTGCCGGATTTCTCGATCAAATCAAAAAATTGGGACATTGTCAGCGTGAAAATAGATTTCAAAAGCTTCAAAATGATATATAGCCTGCTAAAATTGGGTTCGAAGCCCCGCGAACTCTCCGCGTTTGGGGTAGCGAGGTAGCGCGCAACGCGCGGAGACGCAGACGAGCAGCGGAGGACCAGGACCGACGGGGCATTTGCCTCTGGTCGTGGATCTCCGCGGGATCTCAACGAGACCCTGCAACATTATATATCATTCTGATCGTCATGACACGATGAGGAGAATTGACAACGTCCCAAGCTTTGAAAATCACTCATTAACGAGATAGACCAGCATTTTCGCGCGACTGTCTGCCAAGATTTAAGCGTTTTTCGTTTTTATTTAACTCCAGCAGCTTTCCTAAACTTCTGAAACTCGACTCCGGTCAAATAAGAGGTTAACTGAAAAATGTTGTCCTGAATTTCGGCGAATATATCTTAGAAACCTTCTTTTCAACGTAAAAGAAGGCTACGAAAACGCAAATTCTCGTTTTCGTGAGATAACCTAAACATACTACTCCCTATATTTGCTTCATTAACATTCGTTCCGATATAGTCAGGTAACATCCGGGGCTTCGCCCCGGATGATTTCTGTTCTTTTCTAGGGAAGGTTGTGTCCCCTCATAGCCCTCAAAGCGAAGGTTACCAGAGTAGTTGCTCTATCGGGGATATGAACGCATCCTATACAACATTTCCCACTCTCTCTTACAAGTATGAAAGTTTGTCAAAAATTATTATGTTTTCAATGAGAATTTGAGAAATCTTCTGTGCAGAAGACTCCTCAAATTTATTAGGGGATATACTCGACACCACCTATAACGATTAGCCTTACCTGACCTTGTGTGCCGACTTTGACGGCACCTTCCTTGCAACCATATCATTACTTCTGCCTGAGCACCGTAAAGGTCATGCCATAAGCATGAGCTGCTGTGATATGAGTATGCTATTGCCCAGGGCCGGTATGTATCAATCGCCCATCCGGGTAAGTTACCCGGACAGGTAGTTTCCGCTTCATAGCTCAGTGCTCTGGGGATCTGTGTTCTTCCTTGTTTGTTCACTTTGAGAGGCTCTACTACCCTAATATTGTAGCACAATGAGTAGCAGCACTTTGCTCTATAAGCTGAGATATTTCGTTATTTGTATGATCCCGAACGGGATCTCCCACTGATCACGATCATTTTCAAAGTTATTTATATCCGCAAAAACTCAATGAAAACGTCATAGAGTTTTGCTGTCGATCTATTACGACAGTGCTACGCATGTTTTTAGTATAACAGATGAAATGTGCAAGTTTTGAGTTCCTCGATGAAGCCCAACTCGCGAGCACAGGTTCATCGAAGATTTTGTCAACTTGATTTTCCACTTATTTCTTTCACAAACATGCGTAGCACTGTCGTAATAGATCGACAGCAAAACTCTATGACGTTTTCATTGAGTTTTTGCGGATATAAATAACTTTGAAAATGAGCGTGATCAGTGGGAGATCCCGCTCGGGATTATAGAAATAACGAATTATCTCAGCTTATACAGCAAAGTGCTGCTACTCATTGTGCTGCAGTATTAGGGTAGTAGAGCCTTCTAAAGATGAACAAACATGGAAGAACACAGATCCCCAGAGCACCGAGCTATGAAGCGGAAACTATCTGTCCGGGTAACTTACCCGGACGGGCGATTGATACATACCAGCCCAGATGTTTGTGATGTTACTTTGACACGCCTATCATACTCACAAGGGAATGGTCAGAAGTCGAAGTGGCCAATCCATACAAGCTGCATACCATTCGATGCAGCATAGAATGCTGATTTCAAATCTGTCTTCCCTATCTGCAGAGCGCCTTTGTAGGCGAAGTTATGAGCAGTTTTACTGCGAAAAAATCGTATACAAAAATTGCCAAATTGGGTACACTGTTGCTCTTTCAGCTCACTTTTAATCATGGGTCATATGAGGTGACCTAGTTGCATGTTTTGGTCGAACACTAAGCCGAGAATGGCTTTGTACGGCCAAGTTTGCACTTTACACGCATAATTTCTTAGCAAAGTAATGGCTTTCAACGGCTTATAACTTCGTCCACAAAAGCGCTCTGCAGATAAGGAAGACAGATTTAGAGTCACCGTTTTATGCTGCATCTAATGGTATGTAGCTTGGTTGGATTGTCCACTTCGACCTCTGAACATTCCCTTTCAGCATTCTACCACTGCACTAATACGTGCACGTCGTCTGTTCATAAAGCTTATTAGTTATGTGTTCTGCATAACACACTCCAATAGGCGCTATATCGCCTCAGGCTACTACAAAGCCATCGAACCACCGATACATTTGATGCATCGGTCAAATACGAAGGCCGACACAGTGCTTCGCTACAACAGCAGCACAAAGGGATTTGACTCATAATGAAGCTGTTTCCCAGCCTCTACAAACAAATTAGAAGCCAAACCAAGAACCTCACGGAAGTACTGCAAGAGTACGTCTACAGCGGTAAGAAGACAATACTTCCAGATGACGACGATCTACGGCGGAGGATATGCCTACAATCTGCGCCAATATGCGCAAATTCTCAGAGAAGTCGATGTCGCCGCACAGTCACTACAAATGAGGACTGCTGTGCTAGAGAAACTTTACCAAAGCGAGGAATACATCGCCGTAAGGAAAGTGATGATAGTGGAAATGGAGGAGCTCGATAAAGAGATAAGATTTTATAAAACCATTGATGATACTAAAATCTTTGTCCTCGACGTACAATGCCTCATGGCAGAATTTGAGATGGAGATGGAATACGTAGAACGCAGAAAGAATTTTCCCTCAATAAGATGTGAAAGTAGCTATGAGCAACTGCCCAGAGATCAGTCGGACAACAGTTCACCAAAAACAGGCGATTCTCTTTCAATCGATAAGCCAACGATGAACGAGGAAAAGTTTGAAAACGAAAACGAAAGCAAAGAAGAGACTAACACTGAATCCAGGACAGCGTTTCAAACCTCAGTGAGGATAGCTTTGACTATGCGACAGAAGCAGAAGCGAAAATTCCATCGCAGATAAAGTCAGAGGAAACAATGAAAGGAAGCAAAACGTCGAGTAATACTGATGATCAATACAATAACAAGATCCTCTCTGCTCATAACGAGACGCCTCTGCAGGTCACGACGTTTCCGGCAACCATTGAAGACGAGACAGCTGTCTCCAATGACGTTCCAGCTCCAATTCCAAGCAAGATCATTTTGCCCAACGAGAATATCTTGGAACTCGAGTTTTTATCACCGTGCCATTTTGAATGTATTAATCATAGCAATTTCATCGCCTGCTCATTCCAACCATCTGGCTCCTGTCGTCGCCACGTCCGCTCACATTTCGCGGATCTCAACACAGTCAAAGAGGTGCGCGTCGCTCATGGACGCCCATTACGATATCCTGACAAATACTGCATTTACATACTTGCTCAATTGCATTGTGTATGTTTATGTGCTTCTCATTCCGCTGCCTCTCATTCATTCCTCGCTGGCCGGAGTGTGCCGACTTTGTCGGCACCTTCCTTGCAACCATATCATTACTTCTGCATGAGCACCGCAAAGGTCATGCCATAAGCATGACCTGCTGTGATATGAGTAGCTATTGCCCAGATGTTTGTGATGTTACTTTGACACGCCTATCATACTCAGCATTTTACCACTGCACCAATACGTGCACGTCGTCTGTTCAGAAAGCTTATTAGCTATGTGTTCTGCATAACACTCCAAAAGGCGCTATATCGCCTCAGGCCACTACAAAGCCATTGAACCACCGATACACCTTGGGAACAAGTCCCTTGAAACTACCGCTTTGCTCCTAGCAGCATAAGGCCTAAGGCATACCTCACGCGATTTTAGTCGCTGCGCGATCTGCCGCTGCAAGAACTCTTCATAGCTAATCGTAAACGCACCTTGATTGGGCTAGACTTGCTTCTGGTACAACTTACGAAATCTATGCTCCTATGCATCTGAGAACCGCTCATGCTTGATCTCTAGACATCTGGCAAATCGCCAAGTCACG